CCCCAAAACCCCAAAACCCCAAAACCCCATAGATCCGCACCAAATATTTTTGGAGTGAATGAAAATCTCATGCATCTTAATTAAATTTCCATATCTTTAATTTATTTATGTAAGTATTGATAATTAATTTAAAGGAAATCTTGAATCTTTACAAATGTCTCTAAATACAGGACTCGGCAACTACGAGCCTCTTTTATAGCAAACTCGCTCATAAAAAATAAGAAAGGATGCAATTATTGTCGTCGCTGCTGTCGCTCTAGTTGCTGTTTGCTCCTAATTATTGTTTGGACAATCAAACGACCAAGATTTCCTTGGAGCTAAAAATCAAGTATCAATGGTTGCATCTTAATAAACTCTTGATTATCCAGGATACTACTATGTTAATGTTTTTGCAGAATAAAGATATATAGTAGGACTCTCTTATAAGTTCAACAAAAACTATAACATAGTCTACAATTTGAGAGCATACAATCGCGAAAGAGGCAATTGGGATGACCTCGATATGAAAGACTTCATAACTGAGATGAAAGTCAATTCTGATGAGAAAAAAATAGTGATTAACTAGAAACAAGACAAAGAATAATTCAACACTAAAATTCATGAATTGTATGTTGAAAATACTGATGGCCGTTCATATACTGTTACGGATGTGCAAGATGCTGCACTCGATAGTGACGGAAAGGTCTACGCCATCGTCTAAAAAAACATTAGTTAATACGATAGCTAATTTCAATCAGAGACGAAAGGATTCTAACTCTACTCTAGCTAGGATTATAGAAACGTTGAAGTCTACTAAGACGAAATTGTCCTTGTGAGAGCTAATGGAACTTTAGAAGGATATAATGAAATTTGTGTTAAAGACATCAGTGCTAGCGCACTTGATGAAAATGCTCTTTTCGCCTTGGCATGCCCAGAAGACCCCAATTAAACTCTATCTTAAGTGTTAAGATGGAACGACTATGAAGAAACCTGGGAGAAGGTTGATGATGTCTTTGCCGAAAAGATTGCTGTAGTCTCAAATACTAAAATATATGTTCTAGTCTACTACACAATCACTGAAATAACTCTCAATGAATGATTTGCTGGCCTTAAAAAGGGACAGCTCTATATGCCTATTCAATGAGAATGATAGCATGAACTAGCGAAAGTATGTATTTTGCTTAATTATTCTGCTATTTTAATTCTATTAAGTTTTAAACTCTATCTTTCACTAATATGATCAATTGGGGGTTTTGGGGTTTTGGGGTTTTGGGG